TCATTTCGAGATACAAGTGAAGGGCTTAGGTTTTACACCAAGGGTCTGTTTGTTTTTTCAAAATTATCTCTTAATACCTCTGAAGTTTGATTTGTTCAGACGTTTGGATATTAAGAGTGTTTGTTTTTAAGTGGTAAACGTATCTCTTAATCCTAACCCGCCCTCTGTCAAATGGTTCATATTTTGGGGGTTGGAAGACATTTGTTAGCAAAAACTATTTATCATTTATACTTTTGTAAAAAACAATTTATCTTTTTATATTTTTTTTGCACTAGTTTGACCGATTCAGATTTCAGACTTCAGACGTAAAAACAAACAATCTTACTGATCTAGATTTCAGACTTCAAGACCATCTCTTATAAATCATAAGTGAAATCAAACTTCAGACTTCAACACCTTTTAAAAAACAAACATCACCTAGATAAAAAAAAAAAACTAATTGACCGTTTATCGAATGCTTACTGGGTAAACGTTTACCATAAGAATCTTACCCTCGCTTACCTTGTTGGACAACTTTATCGGCCATCAAAATGAATTATTTTTAAGCGTCTTTTATCCAATAAGCGCTAATCATGATAAGAATCTTCTCCTTCACTTGTCACGGGTAAGAACCTTGGTTATTGTATGCCTCTTATCGGGTAAGATTCTCGGTAATTACCATGATCATCATTCATCAAGTAAGGTAATCGACGCTTAATAAATACTTATTTGGTGAACAGTTAATGAACGGGCCTTGAGACAAACTTTACTTAATTCTTATTAATTTTGCCCTTTCAAAAATAAAACAAATATATAAAAAATACTACATTCATTGTAGAAAAAAAAAAACACAAACCATTGGTTGCATTAATTTATAACTTGTGGATATTATAAACAAAATTATAGAAAAGAGGGTGAGCATGTACAAAATAAGCTTTTTTGAGCTTGATATAGTGTTTGTTTTTGGACTTTGTGAGTGCCAAAGAAAACTATTAGGGCATGACAATGGGGCGGGGATGAGGCGGGTTTTGTAATTCCCGGTCCTAGCTCCGGTCTCCGGCGGGTACGGGGATTATTATACCGTCCCCGATCAAATCTCTAGCCATCCCCATTCAATCCCCGGTCAAACCCTGTAAATAGTATCTTTTATTTTTATTCTATCTGGGATCCCCGGCCCCGTCCCCGGTTTGAGTAACATCCCCCGTCCTGATTTGTGTCTACCGAGGATTCCCGGCCCTGGGACCCGTTTTAGTGAGGAATCCCCGTTCCTGTTCAGATCGGTGAAGCGGGTTCCCCACGGATCGGGGCAACTCACCATCCCTAGTAACTATGGGCATGTGTTGGATTCATCTCCTTACATGATCCAATAATTTTAGTAATAGGTGTTGAAAATAAATCATATTTTGAATAATTAATTTTTTAATTTAAACAAATTAAATTATAAAATAATATTTTATTTATCATTATATATATATATATATATATATATATATTGTTTTTTACTTTTTATAGAAAAAAGAGAAAAGAATAGGGAAAAAAATTACTAAAATAATCATTGATTTGACGGAGTTAGCGAGGACGTTTATCACGAAAATCATGACTAAAACAAATTGAATACTGCAAAGAACAAATCCACAATAAATATACCATATGAAGGACTTGAAAAGATATCAAAAGAAGCATAGGGACGAAATTCATTTGAATAACTTGATCAGGCGATTTAAATTTGAGAACCTGAAGCCCCCTAAATAGAACTCTGGCTACTCGTGTCTCTCGTAGATGACAATTATACTAAAATTATTTGATGACATTAAAATCACTATCAATTATTATTTAATTTGGTAATTATAAATATATATGAAGGGGATAACATTTATATGTGGCTGGACTAGCATAGTTTTGATAGACTTGCTATTGACTGTCGGCCGTTTCCAACCCCATTTTTCGAAATTTTTGCAAACTGGTTCATCCACATTTCTGATTTCTTCCCGATCTATTCACTATGGTAAGATTTTTTATACCCCGAATGTTATGCATGTTCCATTACTAGTTACAGCCAGTTTGATTTAACTTGTGGATTTTGTTCGAAATCGAATAAGAATAGTGGTTTGTTTTGGATCTGGCTAGATATATGTCTCCATACTGATCTAAAAGTATTTTGAATTTGTATGTGTGTTTTTAGGTTTGTGAGGGAAGGATATATGACGAATGGCTACTAAGGTAGATCACGACTATGGTTATTTACTCAAGATTGTGTTGATTGGGGACTTTAATGTGGGGAAAACCAACATTTTGTCTAGGTTTACGAGGAATGAGTTCTTTTTGGAGTCCAAACCACCATTGGCGTTGAATTTGCTACAAGAAGTCTCCAGGTTTTAATTTCTTCATTTTCTATTGATTTTGCTTTGGGCATAAACACATTGTGATCTTGTTTCGGGCTTGTGTTCTTCTGTAGCAGATCTATTTGTTCCTTCAATTGTCTTCGCTGATTATTATCTTCCAATGTCACGCATTTGAAGTTTAAGTTGCTATTATTGAATATATGTTGATAATGTTAGATATGCAATCACAAACACAATCATGATGAAAAAATAGAACATGGTATCGACGTGGTGAATCCACAGTCAATTCTAGGCGTTGATTATGTGATTCTTGAACCCTATTGAAGTTTTTTTGAAGAAAAAATGCACTTAGTGTTAATAACCGACTTATTAGTATTCTTGTAAAAGTTGGTTCTATGAAATAATCAACAGGTTTCAATTCGAATCAGATTTTTTTCCAGCAGCTAATATGGTAAGCAGCCTATTGCATATGTTCCCTGGAGTTGTAAGAGTAGAGTGAAGAAATTTTCAACATTAGTTCTTTAGGCTACCATTGGCAAAGTACTTGGAATGAAGTATTGTTAGAATTGGGACTTGGAGATGGAACACAAGAAAGTTGTTTGGTAAGATCCCATCAGCTGTATCTACATTGGCAACCCTTTGAATTCTAATTCATCATGCAGTTAGAATGGATAATAATACAATTAAGAATCGTAGAAAATAAGAGGAAAAAAAAAATCAAACATGGCATATGTGGTTTAGTAGTCCATGATCTTTTGATAAGATTTTAAAATGGTACATTCAACAGAGAAGGACTACACCTATTATAAGAAGAAAACTCTATAGTAAATAGATAAGAGAAGGATCATCCTACCTGCTGCAACTGTTCTATAGCAACATTTGGGCAAAGTTGTACGCCAACTAAAGTTGAAATCATGCTCCGTATTCAGTAGCTGTTCATTTTTTGAGTGTTGACCTCATACAATTAGGGTTGTTTACCAAGTGCTTACTAGCAAGAGTCACTACCCACTCTTACCTTATTGGTTAACATTCTTGGCCATCATAATGGATTGTCGATAAGAGCTTTTTACCCGATAAGCGCTTACTGGGTAAAAGTCTTTTCCCTCACTTACCGGGTAAGATTTTTTCAATCCTTCTTATGCCTCTTATCAAGTAGGATTGTCGATCCTTGTCGTAATCACTCGATAAGGTAAGTGACAACCAGCAAACGTTTGGTAAACGGCTTCTTAGTTTATTAGGCTAGCAAATATAAAATTCAAAATAGTTTGTGTCACTTCACAAATTTCCAGCAACAACTCGAATCATACATGTAGTTGTTCAATATCAATATGAACAGTTTGTGCATAGCCGTTTTTCCCACTTGTTTTGGCTTTATTGTCATTGTCTCTATGATGTTTGCTAATAACATATGCTAATATGGTACTCCCACTTTCTCATGTATGTTTACTGTTTGGCTAGGCCCATAAATCTTTTTGACTATTTGCAAACGTAAAAAAAAAGTCACAACAAGAATAAGAAAATCTTGTCAACACAAGCTAACATAGATAACTAAATATTTTCTGAAGAGTCAGGAGACCGCAATCAAGAAGGTGAAACTTTTGTGGCCCGTCATTGGCGTGTGGCTGATTTTCTCTAGGAAAATTACAAATATAGGGTTCGATAGGATATCTATAGTGCATTTGGTACACTAACGAGTCGGGTGAGAGTGAGCTTATTTTAGTGAGACAAAATAATACAATTTTTGTGCCAATGAGCTTCTGTTTTTCCCATTCAAATGTTGCGGCAAACGTGTAATAACAAGATTTTGTATTGTTTTGTCTCGCCTACCAAACACACCCTAAGTAATCTGAGTTAAGTTCCAACATTTACACAAACCTGTGGGATCATTTGAAACAGAAAGGTTTTGCAATTCTTATAGGGGATAATGAGTATGATGGTTGTGCTATTAGTATTTGACCCTTTGAATTTATGTCATGATGTATGCATGATACTTACAGCTGATAAAAGTGGACTGAATGCAACACAATACCATTTCAATGTAATGTTATGAACTGATGCATCTTCTAAGTAACATTTCGCCAATGAGTTGAATGCAGGTTGAGGAAAAAACAATAAAGGCTCAAATTTGGGACACTGCAGGGCAGGAGAGATACCGATGCTTATTATCGAGGTGCAGTTGGTGCCCTTCTTGTGTACGGCATAACCAAAAGACCAACCTTTGATCACGTCCAGATATGGGTGCTTCAGCTGAGATACCATGCCGACTACAACATTGTTGTCATGATGACTGGAAACAAGTCCGATCTTAGCCATCTCAGAGTAGTGGTTGAAGAAGATGCCAGTCTTTGGCTGAAAAAGAAGGGCTTTCGTTTCTTGAAACATCAGCACTCGAATCACATAACATCGAGAAAACATTTCAAACTGTTTTGACGGAGATTTATCATATCATTAGCAAGAAAGCATTGGCAGCAGAAGAACCATGGGAAGGAAACCACCATTACTGTTGATAATACATCTGTGAACACAAAGTGTTGTTGTTCAACTTGAGTTGAAAGAAGGATTTGATAACGATTCACTCATGTTTAGGTATTGTTCGATTCCTGCATTCTTTATTTTAAGCTTCTTTATTAAAAACAGAGAGATTCAATACTTCGATTAAGAAGATTTAGAGCAAAGTTCTTGCTACAAATACTGCAATAAGTTTCCATTCCACCATCAATATTCAATCTTGTTCAATCTGCACTGTTATATGATGGATTCCATATGAACCTTTACATAAATTTTTAACTTTGTGAAGTATTTCATTCGAGTCTACACTTGGCTCAATTATTATATGACAAGCCAACACAATTTTCCCTTGTGTTATTGCCCATACATGCAGATCATGAACATCATGCACTCCCTTGATGCTATTTAGATCGGTTTTCAAGCAAACAACATCGATTTCGCTTGGTGTACTCTCCATCACTATAGAAAATATGTTTCTTAACATCTGTAGAGTTGTAGCTAGAGCTAGAACAGAGAATATCAGAGTACAAACCAAATCGACCATCAACCATTCGGGTTTCACCCATATCACCAATCCAGCGATCATCACCCCGACTGATTGAATCATATCTGCCATTACATGCAAGTAGGCGCCTTGAATGTTTATGTTCATTGTCCTACTCTTGGCCTTAGAAGTTATAACAACCAAACTTCTACCCTCTTCTTCATTTATATCATCATGATGAGGTTTCTCATGGCATGTATCATGAGAATGCCCATGTCCATGCTCATGACTATGACTATGACTATGACTATGACCATGACCAAGCCATATGACCATGATGAAGTTGATTACAAAACCAAATGCTGCAATGGCAAACATTAGTCCACCATTCACTTGTGAATGTTTATGGAGGAGTCTTTCAATTGCTTCAAAGATCAAGTACCCAGAGATCATCCATACTAATTGTAAAGATAAAAAGGCCCCCAAAACTTCTACTCGACCGAATCCAAAAGATTGATGTGGAGTCGCATTCCAACCTGAAGCCCAGATAGTGAACAGAGAGATCGAGAATCCACCAATGTCAGTGAGTAAATGGGCTGCATCAGCAAGAACTGCTAGACTATTGGCTTTTAAACCGCCAACGATTTCCACTGCCATAACAATTAGATAAAAGATCACGAGTCCACAGAGCTTGGCTGTAGATTTTGACCGTTGTTCGATATCCATAACACTTTGTTCTTGCTTGGAGAAAGAACAACAATGGTCGCATGGCAGCTTAGATGCAACATTTGTTCCTCCAGAGGATTTTGGCATCTCCAGCTCCAGGAGATGGTGCTCTGCTCCAGAAATCGGAACTTGGTGATCTTGATGTTCCATCTGCATCAGTAAATTATGGTGGTTATTATAACGTTTTTAAACTCAAGACAAGATTTTTCTTATGGAGTGTGTGATTTAAAATTGTTTATGTTGGATATGAAGCTTGATATGGAGCATAAGAAGATGGTTACGGTAGTTAGGCCATTGAACTGAATTTTACTTGTTATTCGTGATATCTCCTAGACGATTCTCTTATTATTATTTCAATGTGCTGCCAAAGTTTAAAGGCGTGCATAATCATCTAATCACCAATTATCAATTAAAAATAATTGGATGTACAATTGCAAAAAAAAAAAAAAAAATCAACATCTAACTTGTATAAGTAGGTTTTGGATTACAAAATATAATAAAAACCGATTGATCCAATATAATGACTTTTATTTACTCATCTTGCTACCATACAACTAATATATATATATATATATATATATATATATATATATATATATATA